TTTACATGTATTTATGTCTACTACTGCTTTCGATTAGACGGGTTATGTATAATAGCAGAGAAAAAGATACCAACAGAAAAATAGCTCCGGTGTCTGTCCCTATTGCTTAAAACGATTCAAGAAGTTCATAATGGCAATTCCACTGAGTGGAATGCGATGTGGTCTGCGAACATACGCGTGATTTGAAAATTGAAAGAGCGCGCGGCGCCAATTTTATTTGAAATCACAAGTATGATTTCAGACCAAAGTTGCACGTCACGAAGTTTAATTACCACTTTGTTACATTTATTTTGAAATTTTATTGGTTGTTGTGTTTTATTAAAGCTTTGTCATTGGCTGGAAAAGAGATGCGATTTAGAGCGAAAAATGGTGCGATTCGTGAATAAATCACACCAATGAGAGCCACTCAGATTGGAGGGACTACCAGTGATTCTAAAATGAATGTAATAGAGATTTTTGAGGCCATTCTTTTTTTTTCTTTTTTTTTAACCAAAATTTGTGGAAAATCAATCAAATCTTTGGTCAAAAACGTTAAAGTGACATTGAGAGGTTTACGAATTTTTTTTATTAAAACAAACCATCTATTTAGAATGAACATTGGTGTAAGTCGTGGCTGGTCTTAACTTCTTTGCCCATGAGGTGATTTTCCACTCCGTCAAAGGTTTTTTAGAAGTTTCGTGTCCAGTGATGGAAGCAGAAAAAAATATAATCCCTTCTACTATTTGGAAGTAATTTCTTGGTGTCTTTCTTACAGGTTGACTTCTTGAATTCCGTGATTGTGGATTTGCAGGTAAGATCTGCTTCCTAATGACAGGCTCTGAAAACAAATTTGAGTCGATTTTTATCAAAGGAAAAGAGAGACATTTACATAAAAGTGATGATATTTGAGTAAAGTTGTTAATGGAGTTCTGTCCATTTTTTTATGCATTCAGAGGAAAAATGAAGAAGCGGAAAAGAAAATTGAGCTGTTTATGATGGGAAAGGTTCCAGACACAAATGGCACCCTTAATTTGTAAGTTATAATGACTGTTTATTCAACCACTGCATCTGTCAGAAAATAAATATATAATCAGAACCAAGTATGTATTACTTTTGACTTAATTTCTGTGCGATATCTGTAAAAGAATTAAACAGGAAGGGGTTCAGAATAAGAAACTTATCAGTTGGAGAATGTAAAACCATTTTCTCTAAACTAATTTTCAAGGAAATGTATCGTGGCTAGTTGGGAGAATAACGTATCAGATCAAGGGAGCCCAGGGGTAAGAAGTCTTAGAAGAAGCTATTCACGTCTGGACTTTGATTTTGTGTAGATCTGACGATGATGAGCCAGTGAGACCGGGAATAAGACAGCGCTTGTTCTGCGATATTTGTGACGTTTTCGATCAGCATGATACGGATGACTGCCCTCTGCAGTCTTCAGATGCACCGGACAACCTGGGAACCCAGCACCATGGAAACAGAAATGAGGAAAGACCTTACTGTGACATATGTGAAGGTAGGAGCATCTGGTGTTGTCTTCGCTTGGCGGCAATTGCCCAAAGTGCAAGACTGAGTAGAATTTCATCGAAACCTGTCATGAAGTGCGTTAGGTAGCTTACACTGATCGGTTAATTGCGGACGGATTGTTGAATGATTGGTTGGGATAACCGAGATACTACGAGCGCCCTGATTTGTAAAAAACCTCTCGTTTATTTAACGGCCTCTGGCTCGTGATTTACAAACTTTTCTGGTGTTCAATATCTCGCTTGGGTTATTCCGCCGATAAACTGATGGGAAGTGCGGGCTCTTGCTTAAATGATTTAGTACTAGTTTGTCAAGTTATCATGAGAAGGCATGTGTATTACCTCATTATTTTTACGTGACCCATTTGGAGGTGCAGTTTACAATACCTGTAAGGTGAATGAGAACCTACTTCTCCACTCCAAAACAAAAAACCTGCGTGACTCCTTCCATAAATTTGACTAGCAGTTGGTAATTTTTTGGGTCAAGTTATGAACTAAATGTGAAAGTTACTTATAATTTTAGCTGAAAACTAATCAATTCTACTGTGAACATCCCATGTAGTTTTTGGACACTGGACTCGAGATTGCGACGATGAAGAGGTTAGTTTTACTCGTTTTTTTTTTTTCTTCTATTGCCCTTAATTTCTTTTGTTAATAATAATACAAAAGTACAAACTTCTTTTTTTTCAAAATGCGGAAGGTACGGTGACATAGTAGTCAGCGCGTTTTAACCGCCAGGGAGACCGCGTCAAACGCAAAGGGGGTAATCTTGCATGCCTTGCAGCTCGGTGGAGTAGTAGTACTCCTATACTGTAGTTGCTTCATGCAGTGGAAACCTGGATAAGCCCTGGAGTTGATTAGCTACCAGGCCCCCAACTCAAAACCTAGCCGCGTCTGCACGCTTCACACGTGCCACACGTGATTGTGTCACGCGCGTAAATTAGGGGCCTGCGCCAGTTGATTTGGCTTTCAAATACCCTGCTCTCGTCAGTGGTTCTAACCCATTTCCAACGTTCACTTGTATCTTTCACAGACGTTCTGAAAGTCATGTCGTGGAGGTTTACATGCAAGCTATGAAAGACAGCAAGATGTTGCTCTCGCTCCTCGCCTTATCTTTCTGGTGTATGATGTAAAAAGTAACTAACAACAAGCAACACATAACTTTTTTATTGGGTACTAGAAGCAAGCTTTTTTACCTTCTCGTTCCTCGGAGGGGTGGGACAGAGAGGAGAAATTTCATATCCCGACTTTTCGTGAGTCGTTTTCATGACGCGGGTGGAGACGGAGCGCGGGTGGAGACGGAGCGCGGGTGGAGACGGAGCGCGGGTGTCAATGGGAAAGGAGAATGAGATGAATGTATTACCTCTTAAGATCTGAAGTACTTAGAAAGTGCGGTTTGCATTATCATCGTCCCACCTTTTCTCTCTCTCACTCCAACTCACACTCCTGTGAAGTGCGCCAGTGTTATAAAGACGCGATACTGATTCAAATGACGTGTTTCCGGTGGCCTTTTTTCTTTTTTTTTTTTTTTTTTTTAAATCAGTAGCACACAGTTCGTGTTAACCTCTACTTGTGTGACCAACAATAGCTTGCATATTTAACTCCCAGAAGTGATTGACATGTGAATTCTCCATGCAATATCAACAAATAAGCTAGCAGATAAGTATTGAGAATAGACAAACTTATCAGCTAGAAATTATAATTATTGCACAGAGCACCAAATTGTTGTAACTAATCTACTAAGGAATGCATAGTAATTTGATGGGGGATTTCGGCATTAGCTCGTTTAAGTCTGACTGATTAATGATCGCAGACTTTATTTAAGCGATCCAAGTGAGTTTAATTTAACCTTTTTGAGGGGGGTGGGGCGGTGGAGGGGCGCGATGAGAATATTGACTCCAATTGAGCGCTATTGCATTTTATACTTACCTTATTTATTATAAAATTGTTTTGTACTTTTTTTCAATCGTTGGATGAAGGGGCAAGTGTGTGCACAATCGTTTTCTGTGAGATCTCGTGGATGAGGTTACTAGAGATGCGTGAACGCCTTAGTAAGAAAGTTGAGTTAGTGTATGAAATAACAGAGAATGGAATATTGGAAAAATAGAATGGAATGTTCAAATAGTAGTCAAAGTGATTTCTTGATTCGCTTTTATGTTGCAATGTGGTGAAACTGAGGTATTTAGAGTAATGGGAGGTGAAGCAAGCACGAGTGCAAGAACTCTCAACCTGTTCAGTTTGTTTGTTTCTTTGTTTGTTTTGTGTATTTTGTTTCGTGGTTTGATTTTTGTTTTGTTTTTCGCGTTTTTGACTTGTTCCTTTGTTTCTTTGGGTTATTGTATGTTTTAGATCTTTGCTCTTGCACAAGGTTACCCTTTGCAGCCCAAATATAGGGATAGTTGGAATTATTAAAGAGGTAGACTACGGGACTGTCCCTCCTTTTCGGCAGTCCGTTCACTTCTGTGCACGAGTCGGAAAAAAAACGAGAAAAAAAAAAAGATTGATGTTCGCGTGCCAGACAGAACTCTGGGAACGAGGCACCTTCCTCCAAGAGTTGCAAGCGGCGCGCTGACAACGTCGTCGTCTTTTTCCGCTGATCATTTTTTGACTCGCGCGACAGACTTCTCTGAATAGGAGGAACTGCTGGTTGTCTATTTTAAATAGAGGTTACTATCGTATATATTATTGTAAAGACAATTTGCTGTGCAGATTTTGTATCTCCTTATTGTCTATCGTTATTATGGTGGCCTTACTACATTATTGGCGTTTTTCATACATTAATAAGAAACTACGGCCATACCATTAAGAAAATTATTTTGTAATGAACTTAGAATAATGGGCAAACACCATTTGGTTTTTATTGATTTGTTTGGTCTGTGATTTCATTGATTTTTCACTCCCCGTCGATCTAAATTCTTGTTGAGTGGCTGGCTCCTCTTTTTACCCCTTCAACTTTTTTACAGTTAATGACACCAGCCTCGGTGAAAGCGATTTGAAGAAATCGATGATTTTCTCTGTTTTTATCTTCTGGATCCCTATTCGTCATCGTTCCTCCTTTGTTTATTTTTTGCTTCTGTATATTTCTTTTTTATTGAACAAATCTTTAGCGCTTCCCTCAAATTTAAGTCTTCCGGTACAGGTGACCTGAAGAACTCAGTAATTCAGTTCAGCTTTTCATCAGGCACAGTGTGACTGGCTTGACTACAACCGCATCCTTCGTACCCAGATTAGGTAAAGACCTCTGCATCTCGGATGAGTGAAAAGCAAGGCACAAAGTTCGACAACTTTAGGTTTCCTCTCCCTCCCCCCTCTCTCTCTCCCCCTCCCCCCCTCTCCTCCTCGTTGGTCTGTATCCAAGACCTCTTTATCTCAGGAGAAAGAGAAACCCTGAACAGGAAGATGGACATCATCAAGTCTATGTCCATTCTTATCCGTCCCTCTTGGTGACTGTCAGGGTATGCACTATGGTGATGATGTTTTCCCTGGATTTGGAACTTTGCGTACCATAAAATACACCCTTGTTGCCTTCACTCGATTTTTATTTTCCTTGTTAGTTTGAGGGGTCGGCGGCATCTTAAGCCTGTGTAGCTGTCTGGATTCTTCGCGCATTGGCTGAATTGAGCAAGGTTAATCGTAGTTCAATCGTGATTTCTAAATTTGTAGGGAAACCTTTACTATCGAAGGCCTTTTATTGACTCCTAAGTAGGATGTTCTCTAACTCTCTTATCGTTATCATCAAATGATAAACAATTTCTGGACAAAACACCATCCATCAATACCATTAGTTACAGAATATGAAAATAAAAAAGTCCTGTCACTCGTTACGTACGAGTAGTCTGAGGCTCGTATCGTGCGGAGGTCTGGTTCTAAATCCTCAAATCGAGGTTGAATCGTCCTTTTCAATATGGCTTCCTTGTGGAGAAGAGTGTCTTCATGGCTTTCCCCTTTGTGCGGATCATATCTGAAGAGCTTTGCATCGTGATCGACCGATCATCTTCAAGAAGCTAGATCAATAAAATGGCAAGGCATAGAAACTACAGAAATTATGCCTACGAAGACGGTATAGTACATGTTGATTGTTATTCATTCAAACCAAATGTTATCTTTTTCTGAGTTACATCGTGAAGCCCAAACGTGGAAAGTAGAGATGTTAGGCTTTCTAAAACACGCGCTGATCGTAGTAATTCTATTAGCTCAGATGTATGTAACATGAAGTAAATGTATCAGATTCTCATTCGGAGAGCTTTACGGAAATTATCACCAAGATTTCAATGTACATTTCACCCCATACTTCATTATATATGCATACGTACAATTTTGCAACATAGGATAAGTCTCGGGTATTTCGGGATTGCCCATCTCGTAAAAAGACCTTCACAGATAGCAAGGAAGGTCTCATAATCGTAATAAATCATTGGGCTGCAACAAAATCGTACCAATTCACTCGGTTGATTCATCCCCAAGGTCTTGTTATGTTCATGGCTGTAAACTTGCAGTGATCAATGTGGGGAAATGAAAATGTCTAAGAATGTCAGATCAAATGTGAAATTGAACTCAGTTTCAACAAAAAGTGCAACACCACATGCACATGATGATTTGTCAGTGATTGGTACTGACTATATTTTGTAGAAGTTAACTTAAGTAAGACAATATATGTGTTACCTTTTGGTCATCAATGTTTTTGTTTAACTGTAGACATGTCTGATGATGTGTATGGTCATTCAGTGGAGGATTATGACATAGCAGTATCACCAACCACTGGTAGGGGTTATGTATACTTTTAAAATTTGGTAGGGCTAAAAGGTGTAATTGGTATTACCCCTTTAAATCCCAGAAGTTATTAACATATAACCTCTCCTTAAAGTATCTATACATTATCCAGCAGACAGGTCATGAGGATACTCAAACTTATCAGGGAGAAGTTGTTATCTTGATTTAACACCAAATCCTTGCAACTAATTTACAAGGAAATGTGTAGTAAAAAGAGTTTGGGTTTACCCTAAAGTAAATATTGTTTGATGAAATTGAACAACAAGCTGATTTTGGGTTAGAAGAAAGTCAAATTTTTTTATGTTACTTGTAAGGAACCATAAATTCATGTACACTGTATGTGACTTACTGAAAACATAATTTTTTGGGTGAAGAGAATGGCTGTGAGGGGAGGTCTGTGTGAAATTATTTAATCAGTTGGTCATTAAAAGGCAGGAAATTTAAAAAACCTGTTAGTGTGGAAGTCATGTCACAGGTGTTGTTTAATTGAGTGGGACATTAACTAACAATATTTCATTGAATTTTATTGCGCGTTAGCCGAGGAATTCCTGTTCAGACGTAGCAATAGTCGGGACCCAAATCTATCAGCATACATGGCTGATAGATTTGGCAGAGTGGAAGAAGAAGATGAAGAAGAATCTGATGACGAACCTCTGGCTACATCACAGGACTACAGAAGACCTCAGTTAGATCCCAGGAGTGAAGGTAAAATACTAAAGAAAAAGGAATTAAAACAATATGGAGATAAGGGAAATCTGAATGTCGAGCTTGGACCCTAACACTAACATCTTAATAGATATGCCGTGACTGAAATCATGCAGATTTGTGGTCAGTCCATTTATTTAATTTAAAATCCACACACTTATAGTGTTAGACTTGAGCAAAAAAAAATACTTTATATGAAAAAAATGAACTTGTAGTTATTTTTTAACATTTTTATTTTGACTACAACAATCCGGATACCAAATTTACTATCTAATTGAAAACTGTGCGTCACATGTGACTCTCTTGCACTGGATTTTCAGAAAAATTATCCTCTTGTTTGGATCAACTTCATTCTATTCTTGGAGAGAACTTAGATGAATGCACTGCTGTGACAGCACTTATGCAGCACAACTTTGACTTAGAGAGGGCTCTGGATCAAATTCTTAGTGGTGGTATGTTCTACTGTGTATGTTACAGGTCAAATTGTGTTCAGGTTAACAATTGTACAGGTTAGAACAATTTTTTTTACAACCAAATACCTGGCAAAGTTGATTAAACCTTGCTGATTTTTAATTTTTGTAATTATTTCAATTTTTGGAATTGTCCTTGTAAAAATATTTTGTGGCTGGTGCAACATGGCATTTCATCTCGCCCGAGAGACTTATCAGATACTTTTTGTAAATTCCAAGCAAACTCGCTGAGCATCACACTCAAAGTCATGTTTGTGAAGTCAAGATGTTAGTGGTCTGGCCCTCTATGACAGAAGGATTCCTTACTGCACATTCACAAGTTACAAAAATTGTGCCATGTGTAATGAGAGAGTCCAGGATTTAGGATTATTGTTAATATGTTGTCTTGTGTTGCTTGTCTGCTAACCATAGAAGTGTTTAGCAGATAGATCAAAGGGGAGTTGATTTCATTGATTTCAGGTTAATTCTGTTTTTATTTTGTTTTTCCAGGGGAAAAACAGGACATGAAGGATAATTCACGTCCAGCTGGAAGTAAAGGTGAGCTTATATAAGAACACAATGACTAGAGCAATTTTCAGTTGAGTACTAAAAGTTAACCATTTACACCTAACATCGGTATGCAAGTTCTCTATACTGTTCTTTATACATTTCCTATGGTGCTTGCTTGCTATCAACCATACAATTTTTAGAATGTTAGTTTGGAGAATTAAGTTTTGGATCAACTATTTATCCCCAAATTGATATTTTTCTTTAATCTCATCACTTATCTGGTTGATATAGCATTGATATTGTGAGGAGAAACTCTGTCTTGGTCATTAATGGGAGTTTAAGGGTTAACCCTTCAGAGTGACCAGCATCTGATTTCTCCTTACAATTTCACCCCTCAGTCAAACATTTAGGTCAAGAATAAAGGGAATGGTCATCAAATAAAGAGGCTCTTGATTGCTTAACAAATTCTCCTTGTCAGCACCTTAGGAAATGTATAGAGAACAGTATGGAGAATATGCATACTGATGTTAGGGTGTCAAGGGTTAAAGAAGAAGCATGCCTCACCAACCATATAATTTTATATAATAAGTTCAGTTATGCATGCATTCTGATTGGTTCTCACTTATGATCTATTGGAGGACAGACGTATAGATGACATCATTATTAAAACTTTTTTTAATTCTTTATTATACAAAACGAACAGATTCCAAGTTGCCATGCATCTGTTCAGTAATAGATCCCAGAGGGCATCAAGATGTGGTAAGAACATCAGTGACACACTCAGCTGGGCCTCATGTGCCACTTTTTTGTTCTTACCACATTTTGACATCATCTGTGATCTATTACTGAACAGACGCACAACAACTTGGAATCTATTTGTTAAGTTGACTTCACCATTGAGAAGTTTTTATGAAATTGTAGCACCATCATCATTATGGTCACTTTTTAGTATTGCCTTCAACAGTTCATAAACTAATTTTATGCCTGTTTGTTCTTCTTTTCCATGTTCTTCATTGTGATGTTCTTCCTGTTGTATGGCTTTCACAAGGTAAGATTGTGAATTATTTCAGACCCAGTCAGAAAAACAGGTTCAAGTCAATGAGCAAAATAGACTATGTAAAAAAGCTGTTGCAAAGCAGTTGTCTGCAGGTAGAAAAAAGAATCTCAAAGCAACTAAAGAAACAACTTTGTTGGTAAATAATTCTGGCTCAGTAAGTTTGTCAGGCATTTCTCCCACGGCATTATCTTTAAACACTTTGGCTCAAGGATCATCTGCTGACAACTCATCATCAAATGACAGTGTTTTGCGCAAACCAACCATTGCAGCGTCTTTGTCTTCAAACTCAAACACAAAATTTGTTGGGTCGTTTAATATAGATGGAGTATCTGTATCTGAACCTCCTCACACTGTGTCACCTCCCACTTCATTATCATTGGCAGCAGATGCTCAGTCGCACCAAGCAAGAGTCAGTGATGGATCAGAGATGCCAGCACAAAGTGTTCTGTTAGCAGCCCCTCTAAGTAGCTTGTCTCGCTCAGGAGGGTCATTATCTGTACAGTCAGTGACATCTCTTTCAGTTCCTCTTAGCCATCTTTCTGGCCTAGGAGGACTACCATCTTTGTCAGAGTCACAGAACACAGATAATAACAAGCTCCCCCTGACCTTGGGCAGTCTATCGCAGTTGTCTCCTCAGCAAGGTCCTTTGTCAACTCAGCCAGTGACATCTTCATCATCATCTCTATTGTCAGTTCCTCTAAGCAGTCTTTCAGGGCAGTTAGGAATATCATCAGTTTCAAAGCCGGTGATGGATGGCACTAACAACCCTCCCTTGACTTTGAACACTTCACAGTCACATTTATCTTCCCAACAGAGCTCATTATCAGGACAAGCATTGCCATTGTCATCATCATCTCTTCTTTCGGTTCCTCTCAGCAGTCTTTCGGGCCAAATAGGAGAATCATCACTGTCAGAGCCGCCAAACAGTGGTCTCCACAACCCTCCCCTGACATTGAAGAGTTTGTCACAGTTGTCTTCCCAGAAAGGCTCATTTGGACCCTCTAATTCTTTGTCAAGCAGCCCTCTGCTCTCACCTCTTAATAGTGTCTCGCAGAAAGGCAGTGCACCCACTAGTGAAACAACCCTTGGATCTTTACTTAACTCTAAATCCAAAAGCTCTGCATTTTCCTTACCCCTTAGGAACTTGGCTGAGATTTCAAAATCAGGGTCAGAATCAGGAGAGGTTATTACACAGGGACCTTCATTGTCAATGCTGCATGGCAGTTTATTGCATGTAGGACACTCTCCAGGAAGTGGAACGGACACATCACCCTCAAAACTGTCTCAGTCATCTGGCACATCCCTTTCATCAAGTCCACTACCAAATGTTGGTACTTTAAATGGAAATTCTTTGGCTCTCAAATTAACTGACCTGAAGATCCATGGCAATTTAAGTGGCATTCACCAGCAGGAGAACGATCATAATCACAACCAGACAATGGAACACAAAGGCGTAAAAACACCTGTGATGCCCTCCATGTCTGACGTGCCTGTGAAACAAGAACAGTTAAAATCAGTGCATGCTGGGAATAAAAAATCAATACATGTTGCAACAAGTGCAAAGAAAGATTCTGTTAATATTTACAATGGCAAAAGAACAAAAAAGCATTTAGAGGTAGAAAGAAATGGTGGTAAAACACAAATAAGACCGTCTCCATTGAGAGCTAAACCGACCATGTTTGCTTTAACAATGTGCTCTGCCCATAATGCAGCTGCTCAAAGAGTAGTCAAGCAGCTTTACAATGCAGATCTCTCCAACATAACCCCTTTTGACTTCTCTTCGCCATCACCTGACGATATTGTGAACGAAAAGCAAAAGAAAGCATTTTTAAGAAAGAAATGACAGTCAAAAGGAATTCAAGAAAAAATTACGCATTGATTAGGCTTAGACATGCAATATACCAAGCACGGCTGATTTTATTTCATTGCTTGATAGTAATTAAATTGAAACGGAGTAAAACTTCATCAATATAATATTTCAATATGAAGTTTAAAAAAAA